TAGGAAGGAGCGAACAGGCGCAGTGCTTCTCTACAGATTTAGACTCCGTCCTCCTCAAATCCTAATGGAGATGATTACGTATCGCACAACGGCTGGATCCGAATTGCCGGCTAGCTCCGAAAACCAGGAGAGGTGGGGGAGTAGCTGGCTGCGTGTGCGCTCCTTCATGTGCTTACCTGGCTGACTGTTTGGAGGGTAGAATTCTGGTTCAGTGGAATTTTGGCGGCATTTCGGCATTTCCGGTATTTGCCGTTGTCACCTAGATGCATGGGACACGTAAATTTGTCAATCTACTTGCAAGGGACACGTTTCATTTTCAGTGTTCCCCCTTGCGGTTTCGCTTGAGAGCATGAAGATCAGGATGGGGTACGCAGGACCAACGTCACCATGGTGGACCAAGAAGGTTGACAGTTGCTGCTCCATGCCTTGGTATTTTCTAGTATCGACAGCAGTACTATATAACTAGTTTAGTGTTGCTCATGGTTGACAGCCGACAATAATATAGCAAATAAATGATCTTAAAATACTGCTGTAAGAACAAGAATGCCCCTTAGGAGAAGAATGAATGAACGACGAAATAAGAACTTGGCAAATAAGAACTGGTGCTCGGGTTGGGGCAGCCAATAAGAACTGAGCCTCGCCCAAAATAGGAGGTTCGTAAGTGCGGGCCGGCACTGTAATAGGGTTCGGATCTTGTCTGGAGTCCATTCGGTAGAAATAGAGTTTAGCACAGGCTGTAGTTGAAAGCGATTTGACCACATCAGATTTTTTTACGTTGCTCGTTTCGGACTACCCTGCTCGTTGCTTTGTGTTTTTCACATTCCTTGGCGTTTGTTTCACGTATTGTCTGTACAATGTGAAATTATTGAGCTGTTGCAGTAGTATCAGTATGTCACCCGGCTCGCATGTTTTTCTTAGACTTCAACTTGGTGCTTTCGCAGTCAATTCTATGGTAGGGGGGTTTAGGCACTATGGTAGGGGAGTTTAGGCACAGGAGGGACCGACTGTTTGTGCATGCATCAAGTACGATTGTTGGTACCACAATTTCAGCTTTGAAGTCACAGGTTGAGAAGGGCGAATTTTCAGAGGGTGGGTTAGCACAGTACAGGACAGATGCGTCGTGGGCACGGCGACATTTGTTAGCACGTTCTATCTACCACCGCTTCCTCAACCGGTGTGTGGTTTGGGGTAAATGTAGTTTACCTTTAAACCAAAACCAAGGTGCCGTTGCATAATTTTACGTACAATAAGGGCATGCTTTTTTTCTGTAGAGATCACGGCCATCATGGAGAGAAAGCGAATCAGGAAGCTGTAGGTTGCGGGCTGGAACATCAATGTTGGGACTTGAGTTCGACGTTCGAAGGCATACGCGATTTACCAAGATCACGAGATGGTTGTCGTGGGTCGCACAGCCCGTATTCGCTTGTGTTGACTACGAATTGCGGGCGTCCCGTTGCAAAGTGTCAGTGAGGCACAAAGGCACAACGCAATCCCGTATAATTCTGTTCACCTCCGACTGTTGTTGCTACATTCTGTAGCTCTTGCTTGGGGTCGTCCGCAGACATGACCTAGGCCATGAAGAACCTGTCCTTCAAGATATAGACCCGATTGCGCGAAAGAAAAAAAATGCCAAAATCGACAAGCTTGGCATCATCTGGAACAGTCGATTGGCATGTGCGGTTGATTAAACGTCCTGGAGTACGCAGCAGAAGCGCGAGTAGACAAATGACATAAACAGGCTTACTGCGAGCAAAAAACAACCAACAGGAAACTGTACGTACCGCTAGTGAACGAAGCGTCGCTCACAGACAGATACCTGCAGCGAGCCTGTCAACTGCATAATGGAAGAATCGAGCTTCTTTGTCTAATACTTGTAAAAGTAATCTATCGACCTACGTCCCAATACAGCAGGAGCAGCGCAAGCAGCAACAACTGCTGCCGTTACCCATCAAACCGAATATCGACCAAAGTAGTATCACCGCCCAACGAAATCCCCCCCCCCCCTCCCCCCTCCCGACAGAGGTAATATACCGTAATTCTATTGGGACCCTCATGTATTCGCAACCTTGCGTGGCATCAGTTTTGAAGTCCCGAACCGTTTTGCCACCCGCCTACGCCACACTAACTCCCCCCAAGATCACGCCAAAACAAAGGACAAATCAACACGGCCACAGTGCACGCTGTCGATTCAAGAGCCTGCAGTCAAGTCACGATTTGTAAGCGCTTGGCAAGTACGCTGTTCTCTCCTTGTTGACAAACTGCGTGAGCACTTCCGCCAGAGAAAGTGGTAAGGCGTTGTGCGGCGGCCTCATCCAAATGCGCGACAATGCCCCCTTGGTTCGAACATCACCATCCCATCCTAAATACCATCCTTGCACTCCGACGCAGCTCTCCCAAGAAGACCCCAAAAAAACGCAACCAAACACTTGTTTCCATGCCCACACAACCCAACATACAAACGAAGCAGGCACGCAAAGAGTGAAGGTTTGTCCTTCGGAACAACAAAGGCACGAAAAGAGTGAAGGTTTATCCATCGGAACAGCGAAGGATCGCCGTACGTATCGGCTTCTGCTCTCAACCTTTAACATCACAGCCGCGCTTTCGCCAATAGTCGTCTCGATATCACCCTTTCCCGCAAAAATATTCCTGAAAATATTCCTGAGCACATTCTTCCCGATCTCGTCATTTGTCGTCTCCGCCAGCAGCAACTCCCCTATACCATATTTCGTCAAAGAGTCATGATCTCTGATTATCTTCCGCCACAGGCGCAAGAGCGTCCAAAGATCTCCACTGTTGCTCCGTCCCCGTTCCTTTCCTCCGAAAGACTCAGGGCAGCAGTGTACTTGTTTGATCATCGATTCCCAGCAGTAGGGTTGGACCCGTTATATACTACATGCAATAGCTCAAATAAAAAAAGTCTTGCGTGAATAAACCCCGCTCCAATATCACCGCCAAGCAGCAGCAGAGTAGCAGAGGTCTACACGCCACCTTCACATCTCGCTTCAGGGCATCAAATATAAGGTTGGGTAATACTTCTCTTCATCCCTCGGAGTCAAGTACCGACAAGTCGCCTTCGGTGAACAATGGGGTCTTGACGAGCAGCATCCGAAGAGGCGCCAGCAACGCGATTAGCACGGGGAAGAGCACTCCGATCGGGCTGCCCTTTACCCACCTGGAACACACGATAGACACAAAACATGGAGGGGCGGCGCATCAACAGAAGCCTTAAAAAGAAGCTGGGCCTCCTGTTGAAAAAGAGCGAGCGATGACACTTTTTTTAACAGTAAACAACGAGTTCCGGGGCTGTCCAAGACTACATACTGAAGAACCTGAGCCGATCTACGATGTGTAGTTCCTCTTTGCATCCATCTCACGACCAAACCGCCATGCTTGGAAAACTCGAGATAACTGTATAGGGCACCGCGTGTTACTGAGCGCAAAAGACATGAGCCACGGCTTGAACTCATTTTGAGACACAAAGGCACATCCCCGCTCACATTTTCCTCTTCCATAGATGCGAACAAACCAGAAAATAGTGGGCGAGTGCACCCACATGGGGGTGACTGACTCACATCATGGAACCGAGGCAGGCAAGCTGGATCATCGTGTACATGTTGGTCTTCGACGCGGGTAGCCTAGACCACGGAGCCTGCGCAGCAGCAGGGACAACCGTGGCAACGCCAACGGACGTTCAAAAGACCAAGGGCACGTGAGACACACGGGATACATACTCAAGGGCCCTGCGAGGCCCTGCGCAGCAGAATGCTCATGGTAATGAAAACAACACACACGTGTGTCAGAGCAAGTGGGCAAATGAGGCAGGGAAGAAACACGACTGAAGTTATCAACCTGGGAAAAAACCCACGCCAGCGGGAGCGGCAGGGTCACGAGATTAGGCACGCAAGAAGCACAGTAACAGACAAAACAATGTTGATATAGAACGCCTCTGCGTCTCCAGGCGGTATTCCTCAGTACTATCACTGAATATCGCCGCTACCACAGACCACAAATGCGGTGACATGGACAACACCACTTACGGCCTTGGGACGAAGGTTCGGGTCGGTAACGAGCAACTTGGTCCTTTCCCACATCTCGTTTCCGGCGAGGCCCGTCACACCGAGGTACAGGAACAGGCCAGTCGTCACCGGCAGAGGAATCTGAAACAGTGCCATTACACAAGGGTACAAGGTACAGTGTTTGCACAGCAGGACCGACGGCGTGAGCGAGCTTCGAACAGAACGTAGGGCCGGTTGTGAAGGGCACCGAATGGTGAGCTCGCTTGGTGGTCGTATCGGTGTGTGCATCAAGTTACCTTCATGGCAAGCCACATGGAGTCATCAAAAAGGGAGAGGCCCCTCTCGGAATAACTATCAACCCTGGGTTACGCGATGGCAAACAGGCATGCAGTCTAGTCGTGTAATTCTCCTGGTACCTTGGCACCGCACTTGAGCGAAAAAAAATGAAAGCATGCACAACGAGAAGAAAACAATTGCGTGTGATCTGGAATCAGCCCAGGATGGTGGTGAACAATGCAAGACCACAAATGATAGGCAGTGTTGTAGGCACACTTTGTAGGGATGTGTAGGTGAACGCAAAAGACGGGGATGGTCGTTGAAACAGACGGGAAACAACCAAAACACCAAGAAAAATATGCACACACCTGGGCGAGCAGGGGGCGGAGCTTGAGGATGGCCACGCCGATCAGGCCGTGGATTGCAATCCCGCTAACCCTGCGTACACAGAAACACAGGAACAGCCAACCACATCAGACGACCGGGTTAGGAACAGGGACTTTCGTGTGATGCGGCACGCAGTTCTTGGCACGCGGTTGCATGGTCAACAAACAAGATAGCTTCACGACCGCTTCTGTCTCTTGTGCCTGAGCATTCCAAAGTCTATTTGGGGCGGATAGACAGGCAGGCAGGGCGTCATGCATCAGGTCTCAAACTTATCCTCTTTGGCTTGATGCTTGACCTTCGATCGCCACCGTTTCGCCCGAATGGCGTCGTGCTTACCTCTGCTCCGCGACGCCTGCAATGCGCTCCCCCCGACCCCAGCCCAGCTGATCGTACTTGGTGAGGCTCTTCACGTGCGCTAGCGAACGCACGGTTGCGGCCACAAGCCAGGGTAGGCCGAACACGCTGCATGCCGCCGTGAGACCCGCGATTATACCCATGTCCAAGTTCATGCCGTACCTAATTGGTGGAAAGTTTAGGGGGGAAATCGTGCGTTTGGCAGGGACAAATATGTGAGCGAATCTACTCCACTCCACAGCGGGCGTGTGAAAGTAAGTAGTACGGCAGCATATCAAGAGGGGTTGCGCAATCGAACCATTCAGCCCCATCTCATGTTGATTCCTTCGGAACGCACACCCATGACACCTGACACCATCGCCAACGCCTGAGCGACCCAACGCCATGCAGACTGCTTTCACGAAACGCAAACCAATCACCCGCGGTTCTGCCCACGCTCACGATGATACACTTTCTCGACCGAGCTCAAACCCTCCTCAAAGCCCTCCGTGGTGTTGGCAACACAGCTGTTTAGACACTGCAAACAAAAGATCTCACCCCTTCTTGAGCTTGTGCTGCTTGGCGTTCACCAGGCGCACCGTGATGTTCTGGTCCATGAAGAGCAGCACCGTGCTCATGAGGGCAGGGAAGAACGCCGCCCAGCGAGCCCACACGGGGAGGGTCATGAAGGGCACCAGCCATGGGCGACCGACAGTGGTGGTCAGCGCCGAGGGTACAGTGAGCGTGGGGAGAGCAAGGGCATACCTGCGGGCAGGGGGCATAGGCACACGGTAATAGATGGTGGCGAGAGGCAAGAACACGGTTAGGTTCGTAGCGTTTTGAAGACAAGGAGAGGGTTTGCGTAGCGTCCTTGACAAACCGCGACAGATTGTCCGGGATGGAAAACAACACGAAAAGTGTACCGGCGAGGAGGATGGACGAAACGACAGCAGCAGCAACAGCAGCAGCAACATGATTTCCATAAGAGATGTGGCTCATTGAAGAGCTCACGCTGCAGGATCATACGAGAACGTGGCGTCTCGGCTGATACTTCCAACACTTCGACATACTGCTGAACCGCCTTCTTGAGCCAGGATCAACAATACATGATCACAAACTGCCGCACAGCTAAACCAACAGCCCTCGTTGCACAACCGCGCGCGGTTGATAAACGATAAACCACACCAACAATCGCACTACGAAAAATATTAGAGTACACGGCATTCTGTTGTGTCATCTCGCCTGCTCTTGCCCCACATAGCAGCCAAGGTTCCCGTCGCCACACCAAGCGTAGGCGCGAAGTCAGCGATGAATTCGCGCATGGGCTTGTTGAGGAATTGCGTCCTGCCAAAGTGGCAACCGACGTGAGAGTCGATGTCAACGTTCACGTTTAACAACGGGGTTTCGATCTTGGGCAAAAGGTCAAAACAAGCAGTGAAATCAAACAGATTCATTCCGAGACCGAAGTTTCTATTACTTCTTCGTCTCAATAATTCTAGGAGCATTTAGTCCACGTCTCCATCGTTAGGTGTTGAATAATTGACGCACCAGCCGCGGTCAAACAGAAGGAAGGACTTCTTTTTTCTGCACCACTCTCCGCCGTGCATGTTAGTCGTGAAAAAATGATCGCCAGAAGGGGTCAACAGCTGTGCCTTCACAAGGGGTTCGAGCCCAAACTCGACAACAGTCTACAACAAACGCACAACGTGGCGGAGAGAACCGAACGGCTGCCTTCCCGTACACCCAATCGCTCGCAAAACATGTCCGTAACTCCCGTGTGTACTGATACACCAAGCAAGCGCTTGTATGTACGATGATGCATTGGAGGCAGACAGCACGAGCAACGCAAACGCTGACCTGCGCAGCGACTTCAGCATGGTGGCGACGCCGTAGGTAGACAAAGCCACGACCAGGGTGGAAGTGGCCGCCACGAGAGGAACTCCCGCCGAAGCGAAAACGCCTGTGCGGGGTTCCGACAACCGAGTTGAGACGTCAAGATGCGATGAGCAAAGGTGCTCAAAAACTTGCTGAGGCACACCAGTCTCTTATCCTTGTCCCCAACCGCACATGGAGCAAAGGCGCGGCGACAGCACGCAACTCACTGGTGCGGTGCAACTTGAAAATAGTGTCGAACAAAGCAGTCCGAAGAGAGCAAGCACACCTATCTATAGTGGAATGCTTCTCAGGCAGGACCAGGTCGACGATACAGAACGCCGAGCGTATACAAGAAACAACAACAAACATCAATACCCCCGTGTCTTCGAGAGCATCTAATTATCGTGTCCAGTGATGTGAAAACATGAATCTTGTCCTGACGATGTTCGCGCGTCATAGTGCATCTTGTCCATCAATCTACATCTGCAGCGTTTTGGAAGTGCAAACGCAACCCCCCACGCCCCCGCGACTCGCAATCTTGGGGGAAACACGTCCTACATAGAATACATAAAACAATGGTAGATAATTTATTGGAAACGTTCAACAGCGCACCTGTGATGTCCTTCGTGGCCTCCATGATGAAGATGACGGAGATCAAGAGCGAGAATATCTCGTCAGTGAAGCGCGTGAAGAACAGCACCATGTTCGACAGGGAGAACGCGCTGCGATGCGATTTATGCGATAAGCGTAAAAAGGGACAGAGGGTCAAGCAAGTAGGTTCGGTCAGTACAGGGGGCGGAGAGGGAGCAGGGGTGTGTGGGAGAAGTTACCCTTCAAGCCTTAAATCGGGCGGAAAAACGGAATCTCGGTCTGTACACTATCGATAGCCGAAATTTTCAACAATTAGCCCTCACACAAGGTGGCAGGTTGACGTACATAGCCCAAGATTGCAACAAGGCACTGACAGTTTTACATCACCAGTGTAGCATGAACACGTGCACCATATATTCGGGCGTGTTGTTTGGACGCACCAGCCGGGGTCACGCAGGAATCATTCTGTGTTCCTCACCTTACTTTTGCGGTCAGTGCCGTTATTTCATACCGTGAACAATTCAGCAGTTTTACTGTGAGTGCTGCGTCCTCACAAATTCGCTGTCCACACCTACTCGAACAAAACACAGTACGTGAAAAACCTTACTTCATTAGACTGCATCGACCATAGAACCCATGCCCAGACGTAGGATCGTTGAGAGGTAAGGGTACCAACAGGACAACTGGGGCGACCAGGTTTTCGCTGTTGTTGAGCGAAGGTTGTCGACATGAGATGCCCCCGCAGAGACAACCATCCAAACCACTGGCGTGCCGAAGATATACGCTGGATATCTCGCGGTAGAGTATCATGGACGAACAAGTCTACGGCAACACCCGCCGGAGGAACGTACGGAGGGAAAGAAAGCAGCAAGAAGAGATCCACAAAAACTCTACAGCAGTATCCTGGGCGAATCCCATGCTGGGTGATGTACCGCGCACCGTACCTTGCAACTCCGAGCATCCCAGCCGTCCAGAATCCCACCCACGTGTACAGCGGCAAGAAGGGCAGACTCTGCACACAGACAAGACAGAGAGAGAGAGGCAGAGAGGGAGACAGACAGCGTGTAAGACCCGGTCGCGGGGGCGGGCAGGAGATACGTCAATGTCCCACGACAGCATCAAACGACAAGGTCACACGAAATCGGCACCGTACGGCTCGTCGTGCCGTGCCGTGCCGTGCCATGCCATCACAGAACCTCTTAACTGTTCCGACAGGCTTCAGTCGTACTTGAGGAAGCGTACCCATGTTCTTCTTGAGAACTGCACATATTTCGTGAATCAGAACTACACAACAAAGTAAAGACGGCTACAGCCGAAGAGCAGCATGCGCGTCGAGGCAACGCAGCGCGTGATCTCCTTGGATGTGATGAGAACATGAGAAGCACAAAGCAACCTCACAGCTTGAGCATTAAACGGGTAGTCAAGGACTTTGTACATTGTACATGTGACGCACAGCAACATCAACTGAAAACAATCGATCACGACTCGTTCATATCCATTCAAGAGAGGAAAGCAGGTGGTTACTTTGTTTCGAAAGTTAAAAAATGCCCCTCACCATCCTAGCAGCGGTCTTGTAGAGGACGGCGATGAAGGCCAGAACAGGTCCGGTGCTGCCGATGATTGTCAGAGGCTGCCCGGCGAGGGCGGCGTACACCATGCCGCACACGGCTGTGGCGGCGATCATCTGTTGCAACAAAATCAATGCACAGCGGCGACGGACGAAGAGTCAGTGAGCATTTCCGACAACCCGCGCGCAAGTCCGGTTGACTCGGCGCTTTACCGACAACGCGAGCCAGTCGCCACATATCTCCATGCACATTACCACTAAATACATACACAACTCCGCGTATTTCATACCATTCCAAACCGTCGTGGTCAGAGCGAGCATCTCGTGCGGTAGGTATTAGGTAGGTACGGTAGTCAAAAGCGAACAACGAGCACCATTCTTCCTCGGTTTGAACTATTAATAACAACCTCCTCCTCTTCCCTCTGTCGGACCCCCACCTACGCCACTGACCGCGACGGATACCAACAACCTCCGACTGCACTTCATACTGTTGTCACAGAACGACAATCAGTGAAAGTTGAACGACTTTGCCGTGAGACGACAGCAGCATAATCCGACGTGGGGGCGCGCTCGCCTCTATGGTGCCCATTGCACCGGCGGTGGCGACTCCGAGCATGCCTCCGAAAGCCACAGCCGGGGCCAGGCAGGCGAAGAACAGGAAGAAGATCGTCGACAGCACCTGTCGGCACGGTCGTTCGTCCAAAGACGGAGACGAGGCGCATGGTCCACCAGTCACCGAGGGAAGGCAAACGGCAGGCAAGGCAAGAGGAGAAACGTGACAACGCATGCATCAGATGGATTAGTCTTCGGAATCGCCGGTACAACAACCAACCTACCATCAGTCAGCTGCTGACGACGGTTCCATGCGTTGTCATTATCACCGCCGTGTTCTCCAGGAATGACGGTTCTTGTGTTTGTTGTCTTGTTCTGACCATACAGCAGTGCTTCACAACATCGCGCAGGCTACGTGTTCGAGACCATCGTCATAGGGCATGTATGCAAGTCTTGGTCTTTACAGAGAGAGAGACACCTGCTGGACACTGGAATTCCTTGGTTGAAAATCTGAGCCAGTGACGCTAGTACCAAAATACACAAATACTTGTACAAATTGACCCACGAGCCCTCGCCTACTGGTGAAGCTAAATACGCATGCTGACTTGAAACCATCTCCTTACCTTGATGCTGAAGCCGTCGGTTATGTCGGACTTGAAGAAGGGGGCCTTGCCCTTAATATCCGCGAGGAGCCCCTTGCCGAAGCCTTCCACGAGCTTGATTTTCGGCTTGGTCGTATAGCTCTGTACCGACGGGGTTGGAGTGCGGGGCTGCGCGGGGGGCACCGCCTTCGTTGGGTAGAATACAGACAGGTATTGTACATCATGTGACCGGGGATGGGCAGGCCGAAACAAACAACAGCACCGTAGCGTTATAATCAACACTATAATAGGTTGATAGTCTTATCGGAGGGCACCAAGAGGGCATGAGACGACATGGCTAGCTATGCCAGTCGTCTTTGGAAGCCCCATTATCAGGAACATGATCTAAAGTGTAGTTGCTGCATGGATTCAGTTTCCGGGCCCAGCAACGATAACCAATACGAACACGATATTTTTGCAGGGGCAACCATGGAGCAACAGCATTCAGTCATGGCAACAAAACGGCGAAGTACCGCCGGCCTGCACTAGCAAGCCTGCGAAATTTCGAAATTTCCTTCCTCACCTCGACCTTGAATTCTTCTTCTTTTATCTCGTTCACGAGCCCCTCGACAAGGCCTCCCACGTCTACATCAGAGGAAGCCGCCTTCGAAGCGAAGTTGTCGTTCTGGGAGCGAGGCGCCCCCGATGCGGATGCAGTCTTACAGACACAAACACAGAGAGAGAGTGATAGAGAGCGAGGGAGAGCAAGAGAGAGAGAGAGAGAGAGAGAGGTTTTACACGTCGTCCCAAGAGCGCAGAGCGAACCAGAAACGATAAAACTACAGGAAAGCAATGAGGAACACCCGGTTGATGATGCAATCAAAAAATGTGATGTACGGCAAATACATGGAAGTGTCAAACGTATGCCAGGGACCTCGCACAACAGAAACTCTCACCCGCTGGGCATTCTCGACCGGAGAAGAACACACATAACACTATACAATGTACACCGATCAGGGGCACGAGGGACACAGAGAGAAGAGTCTACAGTAGAGCGGCTTCTACGAAACCAGACCCTATCACCCATAGACCCTATCAACCATTGAGGAGATTGGGCAGCGAGCGGAGCACACAAGCACCGAGGTCTCCTGACAACAGCCCGTTACTGCCCGGCTAACAAGCGCCACCCATCGATTTCACACCTGTGCCAAGGGTCTTGAAGAGCGGGCGCCTCGCTGCTCCACGCTCCACGCCACCTTGCTGTACGACCTCCCAGTGGGAGCCTCTTCTTCCCTCAGAAGAGGGGACGACGAAACGGGGCTCCCCGCCCCGAGACCCGCCGAAAAGTTCTCGCGTCTGTCGGACCAAGTCCAGGCCGCCTTCTCGTACTTGAGCTTTGTTCGCTGGTCTTGCTTCCTCTCGCCCCCGCCGCCGGCGTGGGGGGACAACAACGAGGGGGCCGTCTCCGGGGAGGCTGCGTCCGCAGCGCGTCGGTTGTGTACCCCTGTCCAGGCGACCTTGCCGTAGAACGGTTTTGGTCGCGACTCGTCCTCCCGAAGTCGGGATGACATCGACACCTAGGTGTATAGGAGAGCAGCGATTGGAAAAGATTGTTGTTCTTGATCGAACAAACTGAATGCACAGCCCGTCGATGCGCGCGCCAGCCGAAGAACACTATTCGCACACACATATTCCAGACAGGAGTGTAGTCGCAAACGTTCGAGCTAATGTCTAGTCAAGGTAAGGTATGTCGCCGTCGTCTCCTACATGCACGACAAAGCCTATATAACTGCAACATCTCACTGCGGTTGCTGGAAGTGCACAAACGCAAAAAAAAAAAACGCGTGTTGTTCGGGCGCGACCACTGGAACATGCGCTTTCCTCGGGCTTGTTTATTCCGCATACTGAATGTTGGCAACATTCGACGAAGGCAACTGACAAAGTGGGTGGTGGCCCTTTTTGCTGGCTCATACTGGGAGAATAGTCGGGGGTAGGTGAGCCACAATACTGGGACCGAGCGTGTTAGCCTAATTCTCAAGTCTTAGCCCTGGGTGTCTCTCCATCTATGTATCGTAACCAAATCCTCCTTGGTGGTAGGGCCGGTTCGTGCACTTGTTAGAACCAAGCACGGTTCGATCATGGACTAGTTTCAGGCGACCCTCCAATATGTACACCACAGTAGCGGCGGAGAAAAACGGCGACGCAAGGGGCCATCGACAGCGCAAAATACTCGTACTTGCACGACAGACACTGCAAGGACAGGCACTTGATCCACTTCGAGTGCATGGGGCGCACCTCGCCGACCGCAGCCTCCTTAGAACGCTGGTTTTGGTCTGCTCCGCTCCAGGCAGCCTTGCCGTAAGCTCCCGTGTTTCCCTCTTTATCGTCGTTGCGCAGTCGGGAGGACATCGACACAGGACGCAATCCCCTAACCGCCGGTCGGGTGGAGCCTGCGGGTACCGTGTGTTTACACGCACCGTACAATAACGTTAGTGAGTCTGGGAGAGAGGCGGGTGTACGTGTATCGAGTGCAGAGTAGCTGTGTTTTATTTATCTCTTCGGTGGGAACGATGGGGAATTGAGGGTGAGTCGGGTAGATGGCCGCAGCGGTGGTAAACGATGGGGTATAGTAGCGCGGTGTGAGTTGGGGGTGTCCGTTTCCCACCAAAACAAAAATACCAAGTAGGGTGTGGCGCTGCTACATAAAATCCCACCCTCAATCCTGGAAGGGTCGTTGTCTTCTGGAACAGCACCAGCACCACAGCTGGCACGGGATAAAGCTCAGAGAGCTGTCGGCAAACACCCCGCAAGGACGAAAACGGAAACTTAAAATGTTGAGGCCCGCCTGAAATTGTTTTCGTGCCTTGCTCACGTAAATGGGGTGAGAAGAGAGACGTGCCTCGTCTTTCGGGAGAAGGGCTACTTTGGATAACTGATCATTGACCACAAGCGCGGAGACAGGTTGTTCCAGACGCAGCCCCATGCCCCCCCGCACACACCATTTCATCAGGCACCCAGGGATTGCGATAAATCTTCTGATACCGGTTTGACCGCATTCTTGTTTCCGACATAACGTCAACATGGTCCACTTCGGGGGGGGCTCCTGGAGAGCCGGCATGACAATGGCATCAACACACAAGACGCCCAGATTTTCAAGAGCGTCCGACCGCAGAGAGCTGATCCCGCCGTTCTATCGCCAAGCTACCAGGTTGCCTTTGGGTGCGATAACATGGCGGCGCTGCGTCAATCCACACACGAACACTTGACTAACATATGCTTCCCTTTCGACCACTGAAGAGAAGCCCCTTGATCGACGGAGGTAAGTATTATAGCAAGACCTCAGTGAGTGCCCTCTCTCACGTCAGCAGTCCTAAAGTTAACACCGCGTATTATCACCCAAGCAACGCCTTACATCGATGCAGCTCGAGTAGAGCAGCGAATCGCACCTGTGACCGAAGAATGGACGAACGAAGTTGGTGTCGACAACGAAAACGCCTCTACCATCGGGCACGAAACCGCCAAGGCCATCATGGCCACCGCCGTTCCAAGGGCGGGCCCTGCTGTAGGTGCCTGCGCAACGAAACAGACCAACCACGGGGGTATATGTACTTCTTCGAGATGAATCGGGATTTCATACCGGCGTGCAACGTCCCTTAACTTGAACAAAGTCCTTCCTGTCTGGGTGATCCCGCACATCGGTGAGCACGCGGCACATGAACGGGATGTGGGGAATCACACGAGAGGTGACACCGGAATTGTACAAGCACTCTCTTTGATTCCGCATGCCTTTTGCCAAGTATTAACAGCAGTTGTTGCAACGGGTGTGCGAGAAGCACGGGAATGAACAGCATGGTTGGCTTTGAACCACATGGCGTGTTACATGAGCAAAATAAATGGAACCCTTGAAAATAGGTCAGCGGTGCTGGCGTGTGTTGTTGCAACGGAGCGCAGTAGGTGGTTGGTCAAGAACAGCGGTGTAACCGCATGGTTGGAGAGGCCGGAACGCAGAGTGTATGTAGGGATTCCTGACATCCCTCTCTGGTTTCGAACACCAAGCCATCGAAGACAACTACCATGATGCCACAATTGGGATTGATCATGGGGGGTTATCAGCTACCGCCGCTCCAGTAAACCTCGGGTGGAAGGGACAAGAGAGAGAAGGTACCGGCTTCATTCCCAAACAACGATTTGTACTGCTGTCCCCCGTGGTGGGTTTGATGACCTTGAAGGGAAAGGTGGGGTCTGTCCTCCCCCTTTGGAAAGGAAACGTAAGCAACACCGGAAACTATCCGTAGCTTCAGGGTCTAGACACAGCCAGCACTTTTGGGCGGACACGGGCTAGAATTGGGCATTGGTGAAAGGGTCAAGACCCTCCAGAGTGGGGCCGGGGGAGGCGGTGCTACATCGACACAGCAGGGGAAAAAAAAAACGTCAACAGGCAGCGAGCATATTTTCACTTCGAGTCCTTTGAGGCCAAAAGAGGGCGGCGCGTTGCTGTCTACATGCCATCGCGTTGCGGAGCGAACTCTTTGAAACAGCAGGGGCTAGGCCAGTTAAGGACAAGCGCCAGCATGTTCTCTCGGCTATCTCTTGTTCGATCACGATGCTGGCTACGTACGCCCTCGAGAGCGTTCTGTGCGAGACAAAAGATGTGCATTTTGGATGCACATCTCCTACTGGGTATTTGACTGACGTACAATGATTGCTCCCGCATTAATTGAAAAGACGAAAGGGGGTGAGCGCTACCAAAGGGAAGCCGTGTGGAGCACTCGGCGGGAGTCCCATAATCGGTGCAGAATAACCTTCTGCTATATCCCGCACAAAAGTTGTCTGCCCACATCCGCACAGGCAAGCCGTTGCTTGCAACAAGCGATAGCATGGGTGCCCGGGCAACAAAAACGTACACACCCGCTAGCACCTTGCATGATTCCTCGAAAGCTCTCATTCTCCCTCCCTCTCCGTCCAAGCTTTGTCTACAGTGGGCTCACCTGTTTAGACATTGCAACGCTTCTCACACCAAGGGTTTGATCTACCAGCAACTGCTCCTGTTTCGCGACTCTCTTTGAAGCCAACTCTCTCTGCTGCTTACTCCATCTCTCTTGCTCGCTCTGTGTGGTTTGCTTTGCAGTTGGGCCGGACGAAAAGACCCCTCGCATGCTGATGGTACCTCGTAATTTTCTTCTTCTGTGCCCCCCTACATGTCGATGCTGCTGCGGCCTCCATCTGCCCTGCGCACGCTTTCTCTCTGAGTGCCACAGAGCGACTAGGGAGGAGTGACCGGTGAGTCGCTAGAGATCACATGATACTGTGTCGTTCGCTGTTGGTCGTGTTGGGATGACTGAAAACCTTTGTGTTTTTTATGCAGAGGGCGCATGTACCGGGACCCTCTGGCTGCTACAAGTAGGTGACGATCCTTCGCCGGCGCTAGAGCCTGTCTTTAGCAGTAGCCTCAAAGATAGTACGAGGTTGCCCGAGAGCAAAGACTACACGGCCTATTAGACTGCACGGCCTATTTTGCTCGCTTGCTTTGCTGTGGCCTCCATGGCCGATCATTGATGGACCCCGCTCTCACCATATATGTTCGAAGGATGCAACAGGTAGAGATGTTGTTTGACTGACTGCAGGCAGGTGGTTGCATGATGTGTTCGTCCACAGCAGGGTGGGGCGCCTCAGCTGGAGCATGATCCCATGATCACATGACCACCCCGTTATGACTAAAGAGGACGCCCTTCACGAAGGACATGCTACCCTTTCTAGGGGCTCTGAGCCTGTTGCTTGGGAACGTTAGCATTGCACACGTTGGTACTCTGTGCTCATGTTCAATCGTACAGCCAGTCCTACCACACGGCAGACTCAAGACACAACAGCAAGGTCGTTTTCTTAACACCTGAATAGCCTGTTAAGCCTCCAGGCGAAGCAAACGAAGTTGCCTATTGGCTGGTGTGTCCGCGAGTCCTTATTTCACAGAGGTAACCTTGATACTGGCGTTTGAACGTGTTCACCCTCCTGCCGTACGCCAAGCCTTCCGCGGCTCCGCCACCACCGTCGTGCTGCGGTGCAACACGCGACATGTGATGGAAAGTTGGAGCTTCAAGATTGTCGCAAGAAATGAACCAGGAGAATGCTGTGTTTGAAGAACGGGTGAAGTACAGCAGTACGCGTTCCTTCCCCATCACGTGTCATTTCCTGCTTGAACTGTTTACAAAAGGCACCCACACCTCTCCCCTCGGTCCCCTCGGGGATTCCCTCAACGCGAACCTCGGATCTAGATGGTGGCGTCGAGACTGTTCCGAACCGCTGGTGCATGCCTGACGATATGCCCCTTCGTGATGTGCGGAGGGGAGGGGGATGGCCGTGTTTTGAGCAGTGTGAGTGTGCGATCGTTGCTTTCTCGGTAGGTTGTACAAACCGTACAGCGTGGTTAAAATCCTAAGGTCAGCGCCGCCGTTGTGTCATGACCTGCTGGACTTGACAAGAAGTCGGGGCGGGGGGGGAGGGGGGCACTGCAAACAGGTGTTGAAAGTGTGTGGTGCCAGGGCCTCTGTTGTCGAAGCTAGTGACGCTATCAAAGGTTACGTGTTTGAGCCATCGTCCGCGTTCGTGTGGTGTGTGTCGTGTGCGAATCTTCTTGTGGTGGAGAAGGCAGCGCATGCCTATTTTGCACACAACCCGCAGTATCCACCCGTTCACTGTCGTACCGCTACCGTATCGTTCCCTCTACGCTGCAGCAACGCACAAGTGCCCACTCCGCTTGGGTGAGCCTTACCCCCTCACATATAGCCTTCGGTGGATCAGGCTCCACCGCCACCACCACCTCCCCGTGGGGAGCAGCACCTAGACCATCAGCGAGAGACGGATCATCAAGCGTAGCGCAGTTGTTACCCTCGCGCAAGAGACGAATCGCGGCCGCACTCTTCTATTCTCTGCGAGATCAGCGACACGGACCGGCAGAAGCAGCGGCACGGGAGACCGTGGTACCAGGCCTACCGCCGATATCTTCTCCCTTTCTAGCTCGCCTCGGGGGTGCGGCACACCATGCTCGAGGACGATGCGCAGGGGGTTTCCAACTGGGTGCGGTGACGGCCGTGCGGTCGCCCGGGGACGGAGGGGCAGCTACGGCGGTGGAGGGTGGAGAGGAGTTGAGGGAGGCTTTCAATGCAGCTGTAGGCGACGAGGAATTCCTAGGGCTTGATGGTTTTCGGGTGGGTGCCGTTGTTGTCATTGCTGATGTTGTCAATGCTATTGTTGTGTTTTTGTGTCCTTCAGACGGTAGTTGTAGTTGCACGTTTGGGTGATGACAGGATGCCGCTGGTTCTTGCTAGTGCTGGCGATGTTTTCATGGCTGTTGCAGTTGCTTCGGAAATACGCTACATAGCTCTTCAAAGCATAAGAGAAGCCCCAGTATCGCATTTTTGGATCGATATCCATGACCTCTACGCAACGACTCGTCTTGAAATCCGCAGTCTCCAGCGCTTTCGTCTCCGATTGGCTTGAATGGTAGTAAAAGGGGTTCGTGTTTTGCAGGTGTTCCCTCATTTTGCGCGCAATCGCCAGAAAGCTGTCAACCTCTCCTGTCGGAGACCCATTGACCTCGAGCAAAAGAGTTGTGAAGAAGAGCGGCCAGAAAAAAAAAGTTTGAGATGTGACAGACAGAATTTTCGAACCCGGCTTGCCAAGCTCGTTGTCAAGGCACGGCTGGCTGCAGCAAAAGAAAGAAGTATCCAACGAGCTAGAAGGAGCCATCGTTTGCATGTCGTCAGATACCTATAGCTACGAGCGCGTCGTTCACACCCGGTACTGCTGTACCAGGCTCTCGCGGACGTACGTGAGCTGCTGGAGGATGGCCTCCTGCGAGACTCGGAGGTGCTAGCTATTTGGAAGGCGGTACCCAAGGCCGACCCCGCCGGAGACAGGGTAGATTTCGTTGGGTTTTCTCAGGCGTTCTCAAGAGTAGATGCTCTCTTTGAAGAGGAGGAGGAGGAGGAGGAGGAGGAGGAGGAGGAGGAGGGAGGGGAAGGAAGGGTTGCTGAGGCTGGAACCAACCGTGGTGGGGGAGAGTCAGGAGGTGCGGTGGGACCAGGAGAGACTGAGGCGAGCTTTGTGGAGCTTGTTGGGTCTTCGGAAGGAGTTTTGGATCTGGACGGCTTGTTGAGGTAAGTTTTGGTGCGATTGTTTTTTTGTGGGAGGGGGAGATGGTAGTGGTGATGCTGGCACTGTTGGTACCGCCATGGCTGCGTTGTGGGCAAGCGCCGTGCTTCTGCGAAGAAAGTGTCCCTTGCGCGGAACGTGTTTTTTTATTAGTTCAAGGGACAACAAATCAAATTCTTGGGCGTGAAAGGCGGTACGGTGTACCTCAAGCCCGGAAAACGATACCAACCGGAACGTCGTTTTCTCCTGCTGTAGGAAGGCCGTAGTTGGTTGTTGTTGCCATTGCTTTTAATTTGTTATCGCTGGAGTACATATTTGTAGCACACTGGCATGATGGTGAGACGCTCGACCCCTATAACAGTTTTGTGCACTGGTGTAGGTTGGCGCAGGAGAAACGAGCGCAGTTTAGAAAATCGATCTCCCAGACCTTGATAGACCCACACAGCAGTAGCAAGTTGTCATGCGCCATCACAATAGTGCACCGTTCCCATTGCGCGACTTCCTTCGTTCGCATACAAGAGCTGTGGCACACAGCGGCTCTTCTCTACCGCCCGCGATGCATACCTTAGGTAGCATAAGATACCATACCCCCTGGACCGATGGTCAAAGCTCGATTACTCCACGACGAAGAGCGTGCCGAGCTCAAATTACACGTTTTCGGAAAGCTCTCGACGAGTTGGTTTCAACGCTGCCATTCTCGGCGCCGTCACTGTTTTTCCTGCCGAGAAATGGAGCTTTGACAATCAGCCCAGGGGGTGTGATATCTTGCGCAACATGTGGTAATCTGAAAGTGGGTCTTACGTACTACCTTCGCAGAACTCGTTGGAGGCATGGCCCGCCAACAGCTAGGGGGCCGTCAGGTATATCATGCATCCCCCCGTTGACTGCTGTAGAAATAACGCACGTTGCCCGGCTCTGAACGTATTGTAGTCTCACATCAAAGGTGGTCTCGTTAAGACAAGCGTATTTGGCGCAGGAATGACCACAGCAATGTGTGTTCCAAGTGTGCTTCCCATTACATCGTTAGTTACGCTGTTACTCACAGCACGCTCTGTTGTGTCGCCGGCGTACAATCACATACGTATGCTTGTGTGTTCGTCGTTCTTTTCTTTTTGCGAAGGTGGAGCGAGGTTACAGAACTGTTTGAGGAGGGCTTGCTCAACCAAGAAGAGGTGGAGCAGATGTGGGAAGGTCTCCCCAAGGTGGCCAACAGGGTGCAAGCGGCGGGGGAGGCGGGCACCGAAGAGGGCATGCTCATCAACCTCGCGGGCTTCTTGGAGTTCGACCGGCAGGTAGAGCAACAACTGTTACTGCTATTGGAATCCTTGTGGGAAATTCAGCCCATCGTTGCACTCGATAGACGTGAAAATATGTTTTTCCGTAAAAGAGATGTGCGCTGAAAGTGGACGCCAACCTATCGATCCATGCAGAAGCGGATTCCAACTGTGAAGGCGGAAAAGCTCATGCACACTACCCGTGCTGTGGTGTGTATTTGTAGTAAAGTGTCATCGAAACGAAAAGAAACTGATTGGACGTCAACAGACGTACTGTAGTGATACTGACGCTGGGGAAGAGAAAACGCCGCCGTCCCGTACAACAGTTCGTTTGCCCCCCACGCTGTTGTACTCAAAAGAACCTACTTTTAGTTATTCGTTGCGCAACATTGCTACTTCCGTTGATAGTTCAAGCATCTCTTCTTAAGTCATTAGTCTTCACAGCGACGTTGTCTTCACGACCAACAAACATGTTCATCAATATTTTTCTGTGTGGTCTCAGCTGAGCGATCTGTTTGAAGACGAGGAGGAGAGCGGCACCGACGCTGCTGACCAAGACCAACCGCCTACCGCGACATCAACGGCAGCATCAACACCTCCAACAACCCCCGCCGCTGCAGCGCCAGTTGTAGCGGCGACGGCACCAGCTTCCCCAGAGGCGATGGACCTCGCGGGAAAGGAGGCCGTAGCGGACGAGGGGACTCCTGAGGGTCTGTTCATGAGGCTCTCTGCTAACACGGGAGGCGTGCTGACCTTGGACAACCTTCTCGGGTGAGCGACGACGACGACGGGGGGGGGGGGGGGGG